TAGTCAAATGAAAAAAATGGGTGTTCTTCAACTTCTTTTGAGTGTTATACACAGTGCCTTAAACGCTGAACTTCACAACCAATAAAACTAATGTAGGACAACAGTTAGTATGAATTTGATTGCTATAAATCATGACAGTAGATACTTAAACATGATGTCAATCTTGTGTATATGTCCAAAATATCACTTACATAGAAAGTATATATGCTGTCAAACATGTTAATATTGCTTATTTTAGGCCATAATTTGATTTTTTCTTACTGATTAAGAAAACTCTGAGGTAGAATACTGTCTCAAGAACCCTGTTCATAAAAGCAGTGGCGGTCTCGTAGCCTCGTGGTTAAAGCGTTTGCTCATCACACCGAAGACCCAGGTTTGATTCCCGACATGGGTACAAAGTGTGAAGTCCATTTCTGGTGTCCCCCGCCGTGATATTGCTGAAATATTGCTAAAAGCGGTCGAAAACCTCACTAAGCTGGAATGTTGCTGAGTGCAGCGTTAAACAACAAACAAACAAACAAAAACTTAGGCGTACCTACATAGGTACAACAGCACCCACAGGACAATTAAAGGTGTCTGCTGCTACTCATATGTTTTCCCACAGCTCTAAACTGTTGTACAGCTGAAGGTGTTTAGTGACATCGTTTTAGTCAATTGGTTGCCAATATAAAAATTGTCAAGTGTCCTTCACGTTGTGAAGGAGTATAGTTGTCAGGATTGGTGACAGCTCTGTAGGGACCTGTTGCGCTGTGCTCTAGATAGACATTAAGATAGAAATAGTTTGTTAGAAAAACACAAGCGGTCTAATTCAAAGCATAGCTGCATATCAGCGTTGGGAAATTATAGATATGTTTTATGCAAACCTGCAGCCAGCCTTATCATAATTCCTTCACTCTATGTAGATGTGTGATGACAGCCTGCAGAGCTGGTGGTCTGGCATTCGTCACTCAGCCTCATGTATTTTGCTGGGCAAATTGGACAAGATACAGCAGTCTCTGTGTATGTCAGCTTGTGCATAGTCATGATCAGGTTTATGTTACACATGATTTGACTGTTTGTTTGTTGTTTAACGCCACACCCAGCAATATTCCAGCTATCTGAAGACATCTGTAAATAATCAAGTCTGGACCAGACAATCCAGTGATTGACATCATGAGCATCGATTTACATAATTGGGATATGATGACATGCACCAACCAAGTGAGCGAGCTTGGCCAACCGATCCCGTTAGTCGCCTCTTACGACAAGTATAGTCACCTTTTACGGCAAGCATGGGTTGCTGAAGGACAGGGGACAATAGATAGACAGCCCATGACAGAGGCAGTCACAATTGCTGAAGATCAATTCTAACCCGGGTCACATGCTTTGACTGAGTTTCTTGCTTTGACTTGCTTGTGACTGCCTCTGTCATGGGCGCTGTATCTGTTGCCCACTGTCACGCCAAACGCCCAGTATGGATTCCCCACAATGTGTGAATCCCTGCGGCATGGAATCTCAGTGGGCAAGCACTGTAAAATTTTCATCAGTCCAGACTAGTACAAGCAGCCACACACACATGCATGCACGATGCTTTATAAGTGCAATAATCTTGAATAAAATCGTGGAATAAAAGTGAAAATAATTGAAGCGGATATAAAGTGAGCTACAGTGCCGTGACACTGTTATGTCCATGACACATATATTCCGAAACGTTGTGTGTTATATATTATGTATATCACTTCTAAATGCCTTTCAAAGACTTAATCCTTTGTGCTTTCACATCCTATTTTAAACTTTCAATGAATTTTCCTTTTTTTGTATTAACAAAAGATCATTCGATAACTCTGGCAGACACTAGTACTGAAGCCAGCAGTCTGGCGATGACTGTGCATCCCCTCTGTGTGTGCTACTAAGTGCATTTCATCTGTTACGTGAAGTTTACCTTAAATACATGTAGCATAGCTTCCTAGAAACCGTTTATTTGTGAACGACTGGAGCAGGTGCATCTGTTATAGACATGGGGTTTGTGGAGCAGCCTTTCAGAATGTTTCAGCTTTTCAAAGTAGATTGATTATTTGATTAACTGTTTCAAGTGTATCATTGACAATTGTACCAGTACCCGTCAGTGCTCGTACAAGCACCTGTCATTTTTGCTGGGGGAATGAATTTGAAGTTTCACAAGTCTCTCAAAAACTTGTCTCAGCTTCAATTCAAAAGGGTAATTTTCTGTTGAAAATTTCTTCATTGCTTATGTGAGACACTTTAAGCTCTCATTCCGAAGGTGAAGCCATTTGACAGGCGCATAGTCAAAGGACACCACCAAATGAAAATCGCAATAATGTTTAACAAGTAGGTTTTGCGTATCATTTAAGTTGACATGCATAAATTCTCAGCTTGCAAAATATCAAAACATCAAGATATTTTTATACTGTAATGTGTAGTTTCCTGTCAGAAATAAATGTGCAAAATATTTCTTTAATTGGCCCTTGTTTAATGAAGCACTGACTGTCTGAAACCGTCCACCCTCTTCAGGGGCGGTCGGGTAGCCTAGTGGTTAAAGCGTTCGCTGGGCACGCTGATGACCCGGGTTCGATTCCCGACATGGGTACAATGTGTGAAGCCCATTTCTGGTGTCCCCCGCCGTGATATTGCTGGAATATTGCTAAAAGCGGCGTAAAACAATACTCACTCACTCACTCACTCCACCCTCTTCTTTCCAGCGCCATATGCTAAAACAATTCAGCAGGCTAAAGGTTAACGGGCAATAACAGTGTCCTTCTGTGAATGTTAGTCATGAAACTTTAAAAACAATAATTTTTACTGTGAAAATATGAAATAAGAATTTACAGGTTTAAGTATCACCCATTACACTGTACTAACACATGCAGACCAAATGTTCAGTTTTAGAACGAAAGCAATATGGTGATAATTAATTTCTTTATTTAATTTTGAACATGTGGAATATTGTGTTTGTACTGCAAGTATGAGGTGTATCAAGTTTTCTGAAGTTTTAAAGAGTATGGCGAATATCTTTCATGTCCATGAATGTGGTGAGTGTTGAAAAACAGTTAATTGAAGTGCTTGCACCTTGATACCATGTTTGTTTTACCTGCATGTGGTAGTTATCTGTGAAGTGGACCTGATGTAGTACAGAGTATTCACAGGAGCTGACACATGTACTATGTGGGCTCTCCATCACCTCCCACCCACCAACACCACCTCCCACCCAACTACACCGCCTCCCACCCAACTACACCGCCTCCCACCCACCAACACTGCCTCCCACCCACCAACACCACCTACATACCCACCTCCCACCACCTCCCACCCACCAACACCGCCTCACACCTACCAACACCACCTACATACCCACCTCCCACCCACCAACACCACCTCCCACCCACCTCCCACCTACCAACACCACCCCCACCACCTCCCACCCACCAACACCACCCCCACCACCTCCCACCCACCAACACCGCCTCCCACCCCACCAACACCACCCCCACCACCTCCCACCCACCAACACCGCCTCCCACCCCACCAACACCACCTCCCACCCCTACAACACAGCCTCCCACCCACCAACACCACCCCCACCACCTCCCACCCACCAACACCACCCCCACCACCTCCCACCCACCAACACCGCCTCCCACCCCTACAACACAGCCTCACACCCACCAACACCGCCTCCCACCCACCAACACATCCTCCCACCCACCTCCAACCAGCAAACACTGCCCCCCACCCACCAACACCGCCTCACACCCACCAACACCGCCTCACACCCACCAACACCACCTCACACCCACCAACACCGCCTCACACCGCCTCACACCCACCAACACCGCCTCACACCGCCTCACACCCACCAACACCACCTCACACCCACTAACACCGCCTCACACCCACCAACACCGCCTCACACCACCTCACACCCACTAACACCGCCTCACACCGCCTCACACCCACCAACACCACCTCACACCCATCAACACCGCCTCACACCCACCAACAACGCCTCCCACCCACTAACACCGCCTCCCACCGCCTCACACCTACCAACACCGCCTCACACCCACTAACACCGCCTCCCACCCTCCTCCCACCCCACCAACACCACCTATATTATTTCCCCTTTTTCCCAGCCCTTTCTGTAATCCATAAGCCTTAAATGAATCAAGTCTAGAATTTCCTCAGGTTCTGAATCTCCCATCTTACTAGGCGTCCTTTTCAAAATTAATGGAATTATTTGTTTCTCTCAAAATGCTTCATTTCCAGAGTCTAAGCATTAGCCTACCCCACCCCCTCCAAATCCGCCCCTACACACACAGCACCCCCTCTGCCCACTCGATGCCCCCATCAGCAACATGTGCAGCTCCATCAGCCCTAGACTTGCACAAGTCTCAAGGGCAATAATTATTAGTTTAAATCATAAGTTCTAGATTATGTAAATAATAAGAACAAGTTCTACCTATAAGAGACTGGAGTCTGTACTGTCCACATATCTAGACCTGCCTATCAGGAGGATAGAATTACTACACATTTCTTTCAGTACAGCCTTGGAGTAAGGCTACATCAGCCCCACCAGCTCAGCCAACCGCAACCTCTCACCTCAATGTGATCTATCATGTGAGAAAATCAGAACACATGCTATGACTTCAAGAAACTCCTTTTCTTCAGTTAAATCTCCCCAACTGATTAGAGGCTTGTTTACGACCCACTCCCCCACCATGTGACCCTGCCCCCTGCTTCCAGCCTCATCCACAACCTGCACTGTTTATCCGTCACAACTGCTTGTTTATCATCTAAGGACATTTTCCAGTTTCCGTTTTCCATGAATTAAACAAAACAAGTCAAACCTACAATCAGAAAAAAAATTAAAATCCCATAAATAAATCTGCATTTAATCAACTAAAGATGCTAACTTCAGAAGAACAGTGTGTGATTGTTTAGTCCCTCAACCATCACTCACAGGAAAAGTTGCTAGTTTATTTAGGGAGTGAAAAATCCCTATGGGGACATCTATTTATAGCATAGGGCCTCATGTGATTTCTGTGATAGACTGCAGAGTGGTTCGTGAGCCTACACACTGAGAGGAGGCTCCCACTACTATCATACTAATACAAGTCCCACTGGTTGTGAGAAGTCAGTTCACACATTAGATCACTGTGCCTTTTCACTCAGGGTAGGAGCACCAAAGGTGTGCTTGGATAACGAGCCTCACCTGGATTACCTGGTTCCCAGTTAAAGTGTAACAGTGTAGAATTACTGACGAGCACACAGTCAGCTGTAAACACGTTGAAGAGAATATACATTCTGTGTTGTGTGGGAAGTGCAGGAAGTCGTCACATGTCGGACTGTCACTGTAGGAGTACAGGTGGAACACAACATACCTGGATTTACCTGTGACCTAGTTGGGGTATTTTCACCTGTACAGGTAAGTTGTTGTTTACCTTGATAGTAGTTAATGCAGAAATGTGTGGTATCTTAACTGAATTATCCTGATGTGATTAACGAGGAATACTTTATACCTACCTGTTATTTAATCAGCACAGGTAATGCCCAATTACTTTCAGGTGTCAGTATTGTCCTGTGTTTATTTGGCATTTATTACACATTCGTCACATCGTTGCTGGAAGATTAGAGAAAGATATATATAGGCTTTAACAAAAAGGTATCTGACACAACTCAACTTCATTAAAAAATATATGATGTTAAGTTGTACTTCTTGCCTGCAATGTAAAAAATAAATTAATTAAATTACTGAAAAATTAATCCTTATGATAGTAGTCATTGCTTTGCCCTATATGTTGTCGCATCGGGATGAGATAAGTTTTATATACACCCACTATTGGTTGGGAGATATGATGTACCAGTTAATAGACATACAACACCAAGTGAACAGTTCTTGTGAAATATCAATTAAATATATATCAGTGGAAGCTAACACCTTTAGCACCTTGTGGCAGTCAACCTCTGACGGGGATGATATGTAATCTTGGTTGTCATGGTATCCGAGATGATATGATTGTTATGATAATCCCCACTGGGTCACTAAATGTGATAATCTCCTCTCCAAGCAGGATGTATGGGTTGACCTTGGCAGGGTCAACCAGATTATCACATGGGATGAAGCATGGTGCTGAGGAATGTATTGGGTTGCTGATGTTGGTTCAGATGTGCCAAGAAACTAAGATAATATCTGGAATAAAACGCTGATAAAAAATATGTAATTTTAAGTTTCCATTTCCAAAATAGTTTATGAAGGAATGTTTCTGTTTGTGCCAGACTTTCTTTCAGAACTAAAAAAATAATAATCAAATATTGGAATTTGAAATGTTAAATGATGCTTGACTGCAGATTTATCTGCAATATTTATTGTTATTTTGTTTTAGAAGTGAAAGAAATACTAATCACATTGTGGACCATTATAGGTTAAATGATGCCTGACTCTAGGTTTATCTGAAACTTTATCAATGTCATCATTAAAAATACATTTCCGCTCTCAGAATTTTAGCACTGATAGGGTCCTGATTGGTCAGAATATTTCATGTTAACTGGAATTTCCGGTCTCAAACTAGTCATGGAATCGACAAGTGTCTTGTGATGTTCCCTGTTATGACCCGTGCCGCCAGAGGGCGCTGTGGCCTATCAGGGGGATCTTTTTGATGATAGTAGAGAGTTAGGTAACATCGCACCCCCAGCATATACAACTCTCAAGGGCAAGATTACAGACAGTGTGTACCTATCCTTGAAGACATACAGACCAACAGGAGACATACAGTATGCCAGTCGCCGAATAATCTCTATGAAAATATGAGTGAGTTAAATGAGTTAAAATTTAACGTCACAAGTGAGTTAAGTGAGTTAAAGTTTAACATAACATCGGCAATATTTCAGCCATGAAGAGTGTGATGGCATACTACCCACCTCCTCCAGGAACAAGAGCAGAGCTGTTCCCTCAAGACAGGATGTAGCTGGACATTTGTAACATTAAAGGTTTCAAATATCAGAGACCTCTCTTACAGTCTGATTGAAAGATTTGAATCTGAGTCTTGAAATTAAAGTCAAGATGGAATATCAAAGACTTCTCTTTTATTAAGATATACAATGGAACGTACTGTGAACTGGTGTCTTCTTTGATGCGCATTGAGAACTTGTTAGATCATGAAGAGATGAAGTTATTTGTGGATATTAACTTCTTCAATCTTTGAAATGTCGTTTCAGCTCTTCTTCTTGCCAGCGAATATTGAATACGCATATTGAGTTAATATATATACATGCTGGTAGGTTTATTTGTGCAGAGAAATCCAATTGAAAGATTTGAAAGTGTGGTTCTAAAGACATGATGGAATATCAAAGGCCTTCCTTTTATTAAGTTATACAACAGAACATGCTTTGAACTAGTGTCGAGAAATCAAATTGAGAGATTTGAAAATGTGGCTCGAAATTTAAGACAAGATGGAATATCAAAGGCCTCTCTTTTAATAAGATATACAACAGAACATGCTGTGGACTAGTGTAGAGAAATCAAATTGAAAGATTTGAAAGTGAGACAGAATTAGAGCTAACATGGAACTACATGTAGGATAAGATGGGATAGTTTTGTTGTAATTCGACGTATTCGATGTATTCAACGTAATAAGCGCCCAGGGCGCTCTCAAAATTAAAAATAGGGGGCTCTTATTAGAAAATTATTTTGGTGAGAGAAAAAACAGAGTTGAAAGATAAATTTTGTGGTTTATGCTGACAGCCTGAAATGTTTATATACGAGAGATACATTTTTCCAGAATTTAATTGCCCATAATTAAGGGTGCATATAACACACGAGTGCGTATTATACGCGAATAAATAAGTGTTGTGTACATTGATTAATTGGAAGGGGTGCTAATTGGTATTGTTCACTAGCCAATATATTAGCAAATATCTCTGTGGGCGCTTATTAGAGCGGGGCGCTTATTACGTCGAATACGATATACAGCCATCAAGGGCCGGGTGCAGCAAAGCTGAGACATGTCATATAATAAAACAAGACATGGCATTTATACATTATAACAATGATAATAACAGACAATACACTAATGTCACGGTGGTGGAACCTGTATAGAACGGTCATCATTTATTGAGTCAAACATGCTTTGCACTAGACGTGCTATCAAGGATGAGTTATTGAGTAGAGGTTCCAACATGTGTCAAGGCTATTGTATTAGCACCCTCCAAATTACTTTTTGAAATAAGACATGGAAATTGAGAATAGATGTAAAGTGCCTTCATCTGTTCAGCCATAAAAGAAAGTCATGAACTGTATTTAAAGAAAATCAGATGCAATGTTTGTTCATGAACGACTTCTGAATACAATACTGTTTGTTTCGAAACATTTGCTTAATATATGTGATATGTGTAACCCTGGTATTGTTTTAAGTTGTTGAGTGAACTAATATTTTGACAGTGGTGTACAATGTCTGTAGGACTTCTTGAATGATATGACAGGTCAATGACTAAACTCACAGTTTGCACAGTATCATGGGAGATGGGTTTGAAGCAGTGAGCCCAGAATTTCACCCAACAATTTAGGTTAAATTTCATTGAACACAGTTGTCTTGCAGATGTTCAAAGTGATTGTGGAGTAAGTGGAAAGTTAATCTTTGCATCCATCAGCAGCTATGCTATACAAGATGGTGTAGGTATTTATTTTCCAACTCACAACCTGTCTCTGTTGTAAGTAACAGCTGAGTAAAATGTAAATATGTCCTCTGTTAACTTACACCAGGTCTGTGTAAACAAAGCGTATTTGTCAGCTCAGGGTAATTTGAGTGATCACCAGCAAATCTCATGCTAATTGCCCACACTAGCTATAGTGATGTAAACACACAGGGCTGTTACGTCATTAGCGCTTAAATCAACATTGTGGATAGCCAGTAGACGCTCACTCAGCAATTTACATGCTTGAGTTAGTTAAGGGAAAACAGTATCTTTAAAGCCAACCATGTTTGTGGAGAGTTTGCAGAAGTGGCGCCAGTGTAATCCAGTGATTATCAACTGCCTTGGTCGATAGCGCCGATGTCAGCCAGTAGTGCATTTCAACAGGATCTTACATTTTTAGAAAACATCATAATAATTATTTACACAATGAGGGTGGGCTCTCATGATGAAGTATTGACAATTTTGCTCTTAATATTTTGAAGAGCCTGGTAACCTGATGGTCAAAGTATTCCCTTGTGGGTTCAATTCCCAACCTAGAGTCACTGTATAAAGCACTGGCTCCACTGTACTACTGCTTTGAGCCCTTCTAAAATCAGCAGGAAAATATACTCGCACTTACTTTCATTGCATATCATATAAACTTTTAGTTGGAATTGTTGCATTACAATTTATCATCACATGACATCATATACTTGCTAATATTCAGCTGACAATTTAAACACTGGTTAGGTTGAGGATTTAGCCCACCTCTGTTCTACTGGACTGGTTAGGTTGAGGATTAAGCCCCCCTCTGTTCTACTGGACTGGTAAGGTTGAGGATTTAGCCCACCTCTGTTCTACTGGACTGGATAGGTTGAGGATTAAGCCCACCTCTGTTCTACTGGACTGGATAGGTTGAGGATTTAGCCCACCTCTGTTCTACTGGACTGGTTAGGTTGAGGATTAAGCCCACCTCTGTTCTACTGGACTGGTTAGGTTGAGGATTTAGCCCACCTCTGTTCTACTGGCCTCCATACAGCCTGGAAAGACAGATGCTATTCCCTTCCTAGTCTGTCATATCGATCCTGAAACAAATATATCCAGTAGAGCCCTTGCAAGTCTATACTATTTGGCAAGTCGAAATTACTGCAGTATCTGAAAATGAAGAAAGTCTCTGAATTCTTTTTTATCATATTTTATAACTATAATTAATTTTTTTTTCTTCTGAAAAATACTTCATTTCAGAGACTAGATCTTAGTCTATTATCTTTCCTCAATAGTATTAACAGTCCCGTAGAAACTTTAAAGATTACCGTATTCGACGTAATAAGCGCCCCGCTCTAATAAGCGCCCACGGAGATATTTGCTAATATATTGGCTAGTGAACAATACCAATTAGCACCCTTTCCGATTGATCAATGTACAAATGACTTACTTATTCGCATACAATACACACTCGTGTGTTATATGCACCCATAATTATGGGCAATTAAGTTCTGGAAAAATATATCTCTCTATATAAACATTTCAGGCTGTCAGCATAAACCACGGAATTAATCTTTCAACTCTGTTTTTTTCTCACCAATATACTATCCTTATAAGAGCCCCCATTTCTACTTTTGAGAGCGCCCTGGGCGCTTATTACGTCAAATACGGTATAGTAATTCCTAGTGCCAAATTTGCTCCAATAATCTCACAAATTATATCTGAAATGTTTATTAAAAGGCAGTTTCAGCCTCGTTCCTGAGTAAATTA